TTTTTTTATGGATACGTTTATTTAAATCGCTTAGCGACACTACATACAGAACAAACTAACGACATACAAACTGCAATAACTGTCACATCATGTTGGTATTTCCAGTTCATTTATAGTTCTGCGGTATCATTATGATGGTGCAGCATACTAGCATGATAAAGATATCACTAACCTACTTGTTTTGCTTATGACGTCAGTCAACATGGTGGTCCTCTTTGGAAATTGGAGTGTGTTTTGATTTTCGGTTTCTATGGAAAGTAATACCGCTAGCAACTTAACCCGTACAAACCCCATACAACCATGAATAAGATTCATGCCCTGAGAAAAAGACATCAAGTGCCCTCACTGATAAAGTTTCACGGACACACAAACTTAGGATATGAATAATGTCGAATACGAAGTAGATGAAACCCAGTCGAGTGTGAAGCTTACATGAAGTACGCCCCACATTAAACTTGCGGTCAGTTGCTGATCATAATTGACAATTGGGAATACATTCCATCTAAAGAACTAGATTTCTCTGTGGATTGTTGTTAAATAATGTATAAAGCGGAGGAAGAGTACACGAAACCAGCTGAGGGTCTGAATATTCTTCGGTGAATCTTCAATCGTACAATACCTTTCCCATTTTTACTAATCTTTTTCGTGTAAGGTGTCCCAAAAGTGTGGCATTCCTTTCTTGTGCTTCTCTAACAAATCTCTCTTTTTTGGGTTTCTGATGGACTCCACCGTACAGGTATAATTACTCGTTGATATCAACAATTCAGTATTAAAAAACCGTTAAAGTTCACTGCCTATAAATGCCCTCATTAGAGCAGTTGATATTGATACCTACAGGTTGATACCTACAGGTTGTATCCTTGTTTTGGGTTGCTGAAGTTGGTTTATATTTTTTATAAAGGAAAGTTTATTCGCCAAAAGGACGCATCATGAATGCAATAGTTTACAATAAAGCGTAAGCCCTTCGTCAGAGCTCCACAGCACCTTTAGAAACTTACTCCCTTTGTCCGGTTTACAGTCAAGTCCTTGTTAAATAGTGATGCATACAAGAGGAACTGGGCGCAGTGATAAGAAAGAAATATTATTTTCAGCCTATTTCGATGCGATTGAGGAAAAAAAACAAACGAAGAGTTTAAAAATAAACTTTTTTCAAATATAATGAGGACTTTTGTGCTCCACTGAATCCTAATTATGAAACCGGATTTTTGGTGGGATAACGGTCGAAGAGTTTCTTTATTTGTCTATTGTTCTTTTTTCTATTGCCGAGTACGTGTTCGATATGTTTTGATGGAAGAATTCTATAATTATTTTTCCGATTATCCGAAGGAAGTAAGCTAAAACACTGGATGAAGGCTTTTTCTCAGAACTACCGCGTGACACACAGTTTGTCAACCTACGTTTTCAAAATGAACGCTTAAGTGAGCTTTGAATACAAAGGAACTTCCTTCGAACGGACAGATGCCGACTAAGTGCTTCCGTGTTTCTTTTGTTTAACTTCAGAAATTTTGACAGCTTAATATGCATTGATATTCCTATTTGAATTTCTTTGATGTGTGTAGGGTTGAATGCACATTCAAACATTTCGGTAAATGAAAAAGTAAAGGTGTACACGCTCCAACTTAGCACCCTTAGCGTGTGCTTTGGTCACGACTAAATCTGCTGCCATGTGAAAGACTTCTTAGCCAACACACTGATGAAATAATAAGTTGGCTACACGTTCTTTCTATAAAGAGTTCTTAGAATTTTCCAAACCCATTAAAATGGCGCAAGTAACAGTCTCACGCACTAACATCATATATCCAATGAAATAGCGCTAATATTTATATATCCAATCTGAACGAGCATATTTCCTTGGGAATGCTTTGTGCCGGTTAACGTTGCTTCAGTATCACTGCTCAACATTTCGTGCTTATCACTCTATCTTGGCCCGGGAAAGTGGGTGTTTTGTTTATTCGGTTTCCATGGGAATTGAATTTAGCTTTTTAAGTGACCCTTACGCCCTCAATTCGCGTTTACTCCATATCCCTTCCCGGGATGTTTTACCACCAAAGATTTACAACTGATCAGCCATCATTAGGAGGATTACCTCATATTTAGCGATACTATTTCTGTGAAGTAATTTGTTATTTTCTTTTAAGTTGCTACCAGGGTGGTCTTATTGAATATAGAAGCAAAAGGTTTTCCACTGCTTTCAGAACTATTGATCCGATATTTGTCGAAACAAAGTATATTGCCTTAACAAAGAAATTAATTTTTGGTTTTTCGTGGAAATAAACTTCTCGATGTGATGTTGAAATCACGACTGCTTTGCGCGCCTGTAAGCGCGATTTTTCGCTATGTAAGTTGATTCCATATTTTGATTACATTTAGGTCACGCGGAAGCTACAGGCGAGTCGTCATGTCTTTGGAACCGAAATTTATTCACTGTTTCGTTTTATAAAGGACTTGATATAACATCAGCTCAGTGATTGACGTCTTGAAATGTTTTCGGCTCCCACAAAGAAGCCACATTAAACTGAAATGCGGAGAAAAGAAAAGATCTGATAATCATCGCCTAAAGAGAAATAATCATGTGGAAGAAAAGATTTTAGAATTTAAGAGTAGGCTCACAAAGCTCGTGATTATGATGGGAGGTCCTTAGGTCCTTCAAGAACTGAAAAAAAGGGAAGATGTCTCTTTACGGGACGGGCGAATAAAGTTGATGAATCATAGAAAGGCTACAGTATCGGTGTTCAGCTTGTTGCCGACGTCGCTAAACAATGGATGGTGGTCCGGATGGGGCGAGTTATGTTTTTGTTTGTCGGTTTCCATGGAAATTGATTTAATCCTGCGACTCTCACACATCCCTCACAAAGTTCTCCTGTTCCAAATCTGGATGTTTCCTGTGGAAGTTTTGTTAAATCTACTTTAATGGATCAGTATGTCTAGATATTTCTCGGTTGTCTTAATTATTTTTGACAAAAGCGTCCCCAAGCCTTTCCTGATACTGCGAGCTTCAGCTCCCCCAGAGTCCACCTCTGTTACTTCGCGGACCTTTCTTTGTTTTTAATTTTCCATAATAACAATGTCGACTTTGATTTGAATAATCGCAATAGCTAATTAAATATATTGTAGTTAATTACGAGGTTATTTTCGATCTCGTTGTAACAAGCTATAGAATACTGAGCGCCAAAACTGTTCAGCTCCCCCACACGATATTATATCTTTACAGTAATGCGTTACTTAAAAGCGTTGAGGTCACTTGCTCGTGACACCATGGTGAAAATGAATCATTCGGAGTCCCAGGCAAGCGTCAGCGCATTCTTTCGGAATGTCAAGTAACAGTCAGATCGTATTATGACCTACGTGAAATAACTTTAGCCCCCAAGACTAAACCAGTGTTAAGGAGGTGGTACAGCTGAGACAAAATTACATGTTGTTTCGCAAAATTGTCTGCAGATTGTCTCTTTGAGCTTGAGACCAAACCGAAACGATGAACTTGCGTTTGAACAATAAAAACTACACTGTGATTATTGATTATTTTATCTGATAGATTTACCGTGTCTAAATAAAAATAAAGTTCAAGTTCAAGTTCAATGACTTGGCAGTTTTGGAAGTAATTACGGTTTCAAAAATTACGGCGGTATTGTTGGCAGACATTAATAAGTTCAGCTCTTGAATTGGATAAAAAAAAAAAAAAAGAGAAGAAGAAATATATCAGCATTCTTGACATTTGTTTGGTATCAGAGCTCGAGACTTCTACTTCCATGCAGAGAAAACTAAAAAGAGATTCTTTTCAGAACAGGAAAAGACAAGTAGCTTTGAAATCCCCCGAGGTCGCTGATGGTCTCAACCTTTAGATCATAGTGTGATCAGGATTTGGATGCTGGGTTGATGCCGAACCTCTCAGCAGGTATCATATGAGTGGAGTCAAAATCGTTCAAACGGACTCTTCTGCGACCAGTAACGGTCAAACAGACTTTTTTTCTCTTCCAGTAAAACTGTGGTTCTTTTGCGTTTACGTTAAGTTTTCTATTCGCTTAATTTTCCAAATAATGTCAAGGAAATTTTTCTAATTAACCCTAGTCTTGTTATTGTAGACTTGACTGATTTGGCTTTCGCCAACACCCGTAAATAATATGCCCGTACAGCGTGACATTTGCGCCGCTAAACAAAATTTATAAGACAGTCGATAAACAGCTAGATGAGTCCACAGTATCAAAATAATTTCCTCTTCTTCCATTTTTGGATGTATTGATAATTGCCTACTGCTTTAACTCAATTTGTGATGAATCCAGAGTTGACAGTTGACGACAATAACCTGATTTTTTGGCCAAGCAGATCAGGAAAAAAAATGAAAAGGAAAAATAAACTGAATAAACAAAAGAATTACATTTAGAGGTAGAAAAACTTTTGCGACTTGTTGCTTAGTACCCTGTAGAAAAATGACTTTTCTCCTGTTTTGATAGTTCGATGCGAATCACTCACATCTAGAAATTAAAAAGGAGAATTTTGTATTTTTTTTTTTTTGAAACAGTATTTTTTATATGTTGTTACTAGAGGTTATATTATGACGTTCGCTACTGAAAGAGACGTAAGACGCTAAAGCAGTGTTCTCGTTGTTTATAGTAACTTAATAGCCAAATAAGATGTCTATTGTTGAACTGAGTGGGACACTCAACCAGCTCATCAGAATGACGCAATGTCCCTTTTGTTTTGACCAATTTGATTTTTGCGTTTGTACTTTGAACAACATCTGACCTTGCTGCCCATCTCTATATGTGTTATTTACTTTTTATGTGTGGTTTCGCGTTCACTTTTCATTTGAATGATTAAACGATTAACCCAACTCCCGTTATAGCACTCCTGTCGAAAACATACGTGATCGCACGCTCACGTTCCTATTGACCTCGGAATTAGTTCGGGTCGTATGCCAGCCAATCAGCATTCGGATCTTTCCGAGACAAATTTAGCACTTAGCTGGTTTACGTGGGTAACGAAGACAAAGGCGAGGCACTCCACTGTATAAATATGTTGACCTCGAGGGTTTATTCAATCAGACACAACTTGAATCGTTCTAACGTTGACTTCAGCGCGATGGGAAATTTTGTAGACACACCACCGATCGAGGCAGAAGAACCTTCTGTCGGGTCTTCTTCGGATTCAGACACGGAGCTTGGAGCTGGTGATTACATTATTGATTTAGATGCCCCTGAGTATCGCGAATATCTCTTGGAGAGGAGAAAGAGTTTGAGCGAAGGGGCTTTGCTCGACGACATTACGTATCTTGACTGGAGGAGAAACAACAATATCTTAAACAAACACGAAAGGTAAAGAAATAGTTTTACAAGACTGAAGTTAATAAGTCGCATGGTCACATTTCCCTATCTTATCCGTGATCTAAGTTTGATGAACAACATTTTAACGGACCCGTAGATAAGCTTATTGGAATGGTGAGTTTGAGGCCAAATTAGAGATCCTTAGGACACTTTTCGAATGACGGTTACGCACTCTTTCATCTTTCTTTGTAAGAGTGTCCGAAAATAGCAAATTCCTGCAGTGAAGGCATGCTGAGTAATCTTTAAAGTTATTAACTCTCATCGACGGTTACTTGACGCTTTCTTGTTCACAAATAAAGTGATATCTCACCAGCTTACGAGTCAGTTTACGCTTAATTAATTTTTATTGACAGTCTGTATAAGGCCCGAAACATTTTTTCAAACCATTTAAATGCAGAATTCTTAGATTTGCAGGAATTGTAATACACGCAGAGTGCATAAACGATTATGCACGCCAAACAAAATATTTGTCACCAGGGAATATATAGTCAGCCATATTATTCCTATCTGAATCTCTTAGAACTTTTTTGAATCAAGGCACATTGCCGACACTCTCTTGATTGAACGAGTCTCAGTTTTTCTACCAAAGCGTTACGTAATTTTGTTAAGACAAATTCGTCAAACCAAATTATTTATCTCTGAACGTTCTAGAACTTGATTCTAGAGAGTTTCAAAATGGCATGGATTGAAAGCATCCGGCCGAAACTGCTATTTTATTGAGACCTTATTATTCAGCGGTAGCGGCAAGTTCGTCAAAACAAATTATTATTCTCTGAACATTCCAGAGCTTGATTCTAGCATAGTCCCTCTATTAACTATGATTCTAGAGAAAATTGAAATGATATCGCAAAAAGACATCTAAACTGACTGAAACTGAGAATTTAATTGCTAAAGAGGCCATCCTCTTATCGTGCAAGATAGATCCTTAAACGTGCATCTATATACTTTTAGTATAATTCATAAGCATTGCAGCTTCTGTGCGATCGGTTGTCATCGTTTACAGCCAATCAGGTGGAAACGTCAACGTGCATCTTCCTTTATACACATTCCCTTTGTCTGGAACTTGACGTTTTTGTTCTTTTGAACACGTTCTGTTTTCTCGATGTTCAAACATCACGCAAAGCTAAATCAAACAGCATTGAATTTTCTTGCTCTGTCCACCAAAACTTGTCATTCAGATTGCAGTCTCGTGTCATGACAAATGTCACGTTTTTTTTGCTCATATAACTATGCTTTCCTTGTTAAATGTTTCATCTGTAATTATTGTTGTCAGGTTAAATATAACCTCTTCACTTACTTTCCTAAATCCGCCACTCTCATTTTGAAAGGATCCCGGCAAATAAACAGTTGTCTTTAGAACAATTCGTAAACAATTTTTCTGCCGATTTACGAATTCAGTAATTTAGCTTTCTCTTTCTGATGCAAATTACTCCAGATCGAAATGTCCTGCGGGTTTGCCTTTGTCTTGACTTCACGCAACTTTCAAATTGAGAACGCGAGCATGTTATCTAACACGAGAAAAATTTGTTAAAAGTTTTGAATTTGCATGCAAAATTTTACTTTAAAAGGCCTTTAAAACTCAGCCAAGTATTACTTATGGCAATCGTTTAACAGCTGACTCATACCTAACTATAAATATTGGAATCAAAATATTTCTTTGTCTTACTAATAATTCGCGATGTCCTTATATAGGAATGCTTTGTTTTCCTCAAAACAACCAACGACTCCAGCAGAGCATGATAGTGATGCTGAATTCCACAGTTAATATTTCTACGACTTATTAACCCGTGAACTGTGTCGAAAATGAAAAAAAAAAACTCTTTTAAAAGTTTTTAAACATGTTAGAAAATCCTATGGCTAATTAAAATAAAAGTACTCAAAGAAAAGGATAAATGAATTGAAGAATCGCTAAAAATTTCATGCCTTATCCTTTGCTGTTTTTGCATTAAAGGTTGACTTCTTGTTTCCAATATTTTCACTGAGGATAACACGGCTGCAAATTAGTACATACGTGTGCTATACCGATACTAGGCGTTTAACAGTTTAACTTAGCATTGTTCGTGATTCCCTCCCAATTCCAATTATTTTAAGGAACTCCTTAACCGGTATCTAAATTGCTCTATTGTAAATTTTTTCAGGAATACAGAACACAAGCCACGAAATAACCGTGATATGTTGGGAAAACGTCTCTCAGTGCCAACAACTGGCAATGAAATTATAGCTATGAGGAAGAACAGTGCAGAATACGAGAAACGAGCTATGGACAGCAGACAACGCATTGATGATGTTAAGAAAAAGTACAATCTAAAAAATAGAGATTACACGGCGAGAGCAATAGTTTGGAAAGAACAAGACAAAAAACAAGCCAAACTGGAGAAGCAACAAAGAAAACTTCTCCGACAACAAATTCGTCTCAAATACGATCTACCAACACCCAAGACAAGCAGAACTGCTGCCATAGCTTCTGGATGAAAGTGTCACTGGGAATTGTGGAGATGTGATTCAAAGAAAAATCATTGGACGCAGATACGAGTGGATTTGCACCCTCTAAAGGGCGAGACAGTAGAAAAGCATTATAAAGTGCCTCTTCAGAGCTGTACCAAGTCCCAAGATGCCGCGAAGTAAGGTACCATGAATGCAAGTGAACGCGAAGACAGAAAGACATGTTAGACTTCGGTGAAGACTGATAGACAAATCTTAGATTTCAATGAGGAACGTTGTGAAATATTTGATAGTCTCTAAGGAAAATAAGTATTTTTAAAGACTGCAAGGTTGCGTTCAAAGTTTTTTACAATGGATAATGACATATTTAATTTTTCATCAGTGGTAGAATTTGCGAAAAGAAGTGATACTATTAGGTTTACAGATGAATTGTTTCAGTCTTTTTTCGTTTTAAGGAATACTGTTTGTATTAAACCTCTCATCCTCAGATAAGAGTTTGAATGTGTTTGGTATGGGTGTACTAAATGTTTTAGCACTGGTATTTTTATGTCAAAAGTCAGCACTCGATACACTTCTCACGTCACGTACCCTTCAATACAATTTTGTCAACGGAGTTGTTAAAAGTCGAACACCTTAGATCTTAACTTTTCTATATTCAAGATACTATCAGGAGACATGAAGCATAACCATGAAAATTTCGCATCGCTGCTCGTTGTACACCCCTGAAGATTAGGAAGTTTCATAACGAAGATACCGAACCGCTCTAAAGTAGGTTGGGAGTCTATTTCCACTTTGCGGAATGAAAGGAAACATGTAATGAACAAAGCTTTTCCAGACACTCTGTTGTACGGGAGATGTGATATCTTTTACGTCGACTCCTTCTGCAAAATTTAGGAAATTGAACAGACGCATAGGAGACATGCGCTTTAGCTTTCAAGGAGCTACAAGAGAGCCTGATGATGACGTTCACGGCATACGGCAAAACCGAAAATCTTTCCCTTTGTCTTCAGTTCTAAGCAAACCCTGAATTAAAATATGTAACCATAACGTTGATAATCTTGCTTTTGCATGGCAAACGCTTGTAAGATTTAAGTCTTTTCTCCCTTTTGGCGTCGCCCTATAAACTCGCCACTAATGCAAATGGATGTTGAGCTGGTTATACAATAGTCAGGTTCAATTGGATGAAACAAAAATATATGGCGTAGAGAAGAATGTAGTCATTGACTGTAAAATACAGTGTTCAGATAGAACGTGATCTTGCCATTTCAAGGAACCTCTAGTGGCAGCTTCAAAACGGTTTCTAATAGTGAACGATGAAACATTGTTGCTTATTATGAGGAAACTGATCCTTGCACACTTGCCTTAAATTAAGTCTACTTCTTGAAAAATACAAATTTGAAATCCACATGTTTAAGAGCCTGCTGGTCTGTGCACTTAGAGAATCTCAAAGGAACTGTGACACGTTTTCTGAATCTCGAAAAAATCACTATATAGCACTCGATATACTTCTCACATCATGTACCGTTCAATAAAATTTGTTGAGGGGGTTCGTTGAAAGTTCAAAACTTTAGATCATATCTTTGGTCATTCGAATTATTATTAGGAAAAATAAAAATCCAATTTGTAAAAGTACTCATATATAACTGTAAAAATTAAACAATCGCTGTATGTTTTACGCCCTTAGGGAATTAGGAAGTTACATCACGAAGATCGTGAACCGTACTAAAGCACATTAGGTGTCTATTTCTAATTTGCGATATGAACTAAGGAAACTGGTAATGAACAAGGCATTCACGACACGCTCCCGTACGTGAAAGTTGGGTATCCTTCTAGTCGACTGCTTTTTCAAAATCCAGGAAATTGCATGCATACACAGAGGACATACCTCTTAACTCACGAGTATCTTTTAGAGAGGTTGAAGATGACGTTCCCGCCATGCGTAAAACTGAAAATTTTTCCGTCTGCTTTCAGACTTTAGTACACCAATTCAAATACGTGACCATAAAGGTGTTAATCTTGCTATTGGAATGATTTAAGGATCATCATGGCAAAATTAAATTCGTTTTTCACCCTTTAGTGTCGCCGTAAGCGAGCCGTCTGCTCACTGATGTAAATGGTTGTTGAGTTGGTCACACGACAGATAGCCAACTATAGGTTGAATTGGATTAAAAAAAGGATATTAATTGACAGAAGAATGTACTCGTTGACTGGAAAAGACTTGTTCAAATAGAACGTGATCTTACTATTTGATCGAACCTCTAACGGCAACTTACAAAAGTTTTCTGACTGGGAACGATAGATCATTGTTGGAGATTTTTGACATTTTGGTTGTGTGCACGTATCTGAAATTCATCTTTCCTCTTAAAACGCACAAATTTGAAATGCACATGATTAAGCCTGCAGGCCAGCATAGCTAAAGGGACTGTGACAGGTTTTTGAGCCTTAACTCTTTCAGATTATGATTTAAAAGCTGTGTTGCCAAATGTTTTTCTTAGCTATGTTCACTGTGTGCGTGTTTTAAACATTGTTTTTCTTTTCACGGCCGAACTTACACTATGTAGTCGCCATTAGATATACCGTAATTTTACACGTGTAGCCAAAAAGCGACTTCTGACGAAACTCAGTCAAGGAATTTCAAGTTGTTTCCTCGGGACTTCGTGATTTCATGGAGCTTTTCATTTTCACTGATACATGTGCTTGTGGCCGGAGGTTAATTTTGCTGTTCTATTACGTCATTTCTGGTACGTCGATCCTGCTAGAGTTTAATTTTATTCCTTTCTTTGTTTCATTTCCGTTGAAATTTAATCTATATACCCCCAGGTTTCTGCTACCTAATCAATGCTCCTATTCAAAATTAATGAATGCGATTAACTTTAGCCACCTTCTAGAAATTTGCTTTTCCATGCTATCGCCTCTTATCAAGAAATTTCATTGTCCTCTCATCAACCACATACTAAGGTGTTTCCGAGCATCGTGCCTAACTCTGAAGATTTTTTGAGCATTAACTGTTATGTAGGTGTGTAACAAATGTTGAATTGGTAGTCCACGTATAATTAAAAGTTATTCACTAAAGTGGAGGTAAATAATTGTTTGAGCACATATCATAGAAAAACCAAAAATATTAGCGTCTGTCAATATGGTCGAAAATTTAACTCTTGAAGCACGATTTTGTCTCTTTGACTACTTGGAGGTGACTAATACTTGCTAATCACTTCTAAACCAGCCAATCAGCGCGTGCGAATATGACTAATCACCTTTTTGGTATTTACTTACAGACTTCTTACATGCCGTATAATTTTGTTCCAGAAAGATCACTTGAAATCATAAAGAAGTTTGTTGCTCCCTTTCTCAGAAAAGTAAGAGCACATTCGATCATATTTATGACAATTTTTCAATGGAAATATCCCTTTGGAACCGTTACGTGATCTCCAACAGGGCACTGAAACAGCAAGGTCCATATCAGGAATTAGTAATTTTTTATCACCTGGGAGGGGGAGTTGGAGGATTTTGGAGGGGACCACATGGTTTTTCAGGGGGGAAGGGAGGGGGCGCAGTCGTTGCTAACAGAGCCTCTAGCAGGGCTAAAGAAAATTGACTGCCAATGAGGGGAATGGTTTGAATACTTCAGAGCCTTATGGTAGGATCAGGTAAATTTTACTGCGACATAACCGAAATCCAACGAATTTCAACATTCACCTCCTCCTCACCCCCGTTGATTAATAATGACCCGTCCCTAAGGGCCAAGCTGGATAATGGTGTCATCGATCAGCTATAACTGTTTTCTGACTCAGTCGTTCCATTTTTACAGGGGTAATCAGTATGGACACGAGAATGTGAACTGCTACAGAATGAGGTTTTTTTTTCTGCTTGTAGGGCCAATATAGTTCTTTTAAAAAATACTCTTGTGTTCAAATACGTGAAATAATACTCACTGCCGCAAGTTGTGACCCACGAACCAAGTTGTGAACATATCCTTGACAATGTATTCGTCAAAAGACTGGCCTAACACAAATGCTCCCAGCTCTTCTCTTCGACCTCTGGATACGAATTTTTCGTCTCTTAAGCAATCTGTATTGGAAAAGCAGGAAGCTGGACTTGTTGCGGCAAAAGCCACATTCTGGCCCACCATCTTGGAAAAACACTTTCACCACACCTGCGTATCGTAGCTTACTTGCGTTTGCGTTTGACGGGTGAACGTACTTACTTGCGTTTGCGTTTGCGTTTGCGTTTGACGGGTGAACGTAGTTTGCATTTATGTCGCACGTGTCAACCTGGCTTAGGTGCTATTTATTAAGTATGCTTTTTTTTCTCTCTCTATCTTAAAATTTTGTTACGTAACTTTTTGTTTTTGTCTTAACTGCTCTTGAAATCTTTGAGCGTCGATCGGAGTCGTGTCGCTGCCAAGGCAGGGTATTAAATAAAGCGATCCGGTTAAAATTCACTAGCTGGAGGTTTTCCTATACATGGAATACATACATTGTATTAGACGTTTTGTTGTGTAGTATCGCTTACTATTTTCACGAGTTATGTCGTATTTTGACGAGCCCGTAGGACGAGTTAAAATACAAACAACGAGTAAAAATAGTCAGTGATACTAGGAAACAAAACGTCTAATAAGAGATTTATTATCCGACGCACCAAATTGTTATTTCAGTGCGGTCGAATTTCGCGGATATTTCTGGAGTACAAATATCGTGTGATATTAAAGCGTTAACCCCTAGAGGTTAACGCTTAAAAAGTTATTATTATTTTCTGCGGACTCACTTGGTATCACCTCGTGGGTCCACAACATGTGATGAAGAGTATTGTTGTCGATAAGCGTATAGACCAAGCTAAACCACCGTCGTTTTGTTAAATGTATTGAACAAAATTGAGCACAAGGAAAAGGTTTGGGTGAAGGACTGGAATAGAATTAGGAATGACAATTATAATAATAATAATAATAACAATAATAATAATAATAATAATAACGGTTTATTCACAGTATATCCACATAAAAGGTTTATTCAAAGTATATCCACATAAAAGTCAGTGGCAATAATTTAGAATGACGTTTCGATGACTCGTTCGTATAAAGAATTCATAGGAATATGACTTTCAGAACTTGAAAACGATGACTGGGTCATCGAAAGGTCATTCTAAATCATTATCGCTGGCATTTATTTTAAACATTTTAATAAACTCCATATATAATTTGGATATATCAACAAAGTTGAAATGGTAAATTGGCCACCGTAATTCATTCGTGTTTTTCTCGTTGCCATGTTCCCACCAATCACGTAGCTCCATTTTCTGCCTTTAAAAGCACACATAACCAACAATTCCTCTATTCGCTCCGACGATGGGCTAACGCTCGAAACGTCAGCTTTTGTAATCATTACGGTGGCCAATTTACCATTTCAACTTTGTTGATATATCCAAATTATTTCGTGAACCCCACTGACGCAGCCCAAAACAGTTTATTTTAGAAACTATCAGCCTTTATTCACTAATATTCTCCATACTGCTGTCTAGACACTTCCTTTGGTAGTGACGAGGCGAAGTTGTTGAACAATCAAAAGCTTTTTAGTTTGTGATCATTTTCTTTATCGTCGTAACCTTGATGTTCGACTGAGAAGTGATATTGTTAAGGGTCATAAGAGACTAGTTGGTCTAAGGGGTTAAGAGCATAAAAAATGACCACTCTGTTAAAAAAAAAATGGAATCGTGAAATGAATTTCGTACGTCGTCTGGCTTGCAAACGAGGTCGCTGTAGCGCAGGATAAGAACATCCAACAACGAAAAATGAAAGTCTAGATGTTAATTTTTCGTGGAGTTGTTTTTCTTCATCGAAATAGCATCTTTCTTTGTGCGAAATTTATAACAGGATACGGCTAAACTAACGAGTCTGGTTCAAATTAAGAAAAGCTGCCGGTGCACCTTAAAATGATATTACAAATGACGACGGAAATGAGGTGAACGCTTCGTTTTCCAGACAATGTATCCCAATTAACTTTTGGCTTTTATTAGAATGGTCAGTGAAAACAATTTTAATTTGATTTTAAGAAATGTGTCGCCATAAAGCTCGTTTAACCCACCCTTACTAATTCAAGTTCCGTGGATTTGAGATCATTCTCAAAGAATAGTAGTGGACTCCTACGCAAATACTTAGCTAATCGATAGGTGCGGCTCACTTGAGCCTTTGGAAGCTGGCATAAATTGAAGACCCGTAGCGATATTGTTCACAACATTTCATGTGGGACTGAAAGCAAAGCGTGCTGTTCATCATGTCTCCTATAAAGCAAGGAAAATCGACCAGGCAGATAAATTGATTATTGACCAGATATAAACCAAACTGAAATGAGCATGGAAACTCTGACATTTACTTCCCATGATACGGAAGGAATCATACAAATTTTCATGATTGTCTTAGTTATAGTCGGTTCCCTTGTAGGAAACAGTATCATTTGTCTGTTACTTGTCCGGTTCAAGACCTTGCGAACAGTCCCTAACATTCTGATTGCAAACATGGCTGTGGTTGACATCCTCAACGCTTTGACGAACATGCCTCTGTTTATAATGTGGTACATCAGCGGAGTGTCTTACCTCAAAGGTAGGCCTACCTCTTTTTTCATCATTACCTGGTATGTGCTGTTTGTTTATCTAAGCATATTCAATCTCATCGCACTGACAATGGACCGATTTGGAGCCATCGTTTACGGCATCCGTTATCACTCCTGGAAAACGGTCAGCAAGGCAAAAATAGCAGTGTTGTTTATATGGCTTCTAGCCGCTGCATATACATATGGCTTGTTTGTACCAGTAGGGCTCAAAATCGATCTCGGTGGCGCTGCAGTTTGGGAGTACAGGAAGCAGTACTTAAAGAGCTTTGCAAGGTCCTTTATCATTACCGGTCACTTTGTGCCCTTCGCGATCATACTAATCTTGGGAGTCTTAATCTGGCGCGCAGTGCGCCGACATAAACGTCGTTTGTATCCGTTTTTTCCTATGGCAAGGCAAGTGAAAAGTGACGTGAAGACTGCTAAGACAATCGGTTTGACTGTTGCGGCGTTCATTTGTATGGTCGTTGCACCCATGTTCTTACACATCTTTTCCAAAATACACGGCACATGGCCTCACTTCTTTGCATTTTTTCTCAGTCACCTCAATAACATGGTGAACCCAATAATCTATGGACTACATACTCAAAGGTGAGAGCTTCAGCTCGCTTTGTTTTTGGTTTTTGTTTTTCTTTTTGGTAAGACTCGTTCGTGATAAATCAAGCACAATTGAAAGAATAAGAATTAAGCCTTTCTTGATATAGGCTACATTGTTCATACGTTTATCATTGAAATATAATAATTTATCCATAATAAATAAGCTCATAACAAATCATCTTCATTTCTTTTATCTTAAATGTAAGCTTTGACCAGGAGAGGGTGAAGATATCCCTTTTCATTTCTAATTCAATTTTCACATTTTTTTGCGACGCAATTCCACAATTTTGTTTTAAACTTGATGGTTAAAATCGTGGGGGTGAAGTCAGTGTACGGAAGGACAAAAAGTTATTATTATCGATCGGGTTCCCAATATCAAACTAACAGCAATTACTACTTTCTGTTCAATATTTTCACTTATGGTTGTTAGGATGTATCGAAGCATTCCCTGATATGATGATAATATTCATAATTACATATATAGTTCAAAGTGGTAGGTAAGGAAAAGTTTGGTTCTACAGTCAAATTAACATTTCGTGACAATTATGATTTTGCCTCACCTAGTTTTTGACAATTTACCAATGAAAGAAACCAATTCTAGCTATAGGTATTAAGCTTTTAGATATTTCTTAGCCGGCTTTCAATTAACCCTTTAAAACCCACAAGGGATTAACACGTATCTTCTCCTTGCAAACATTTACAGGTAGAAATTATTTTGTTGATCTAATACCAAATTTGCGCAACTTATTTCATCCCAATATGATTTATTACATTATTCAACATGCAAATTTCATGTTTAGCGAATGTCTTGACGTCAAACAGCTCGCGAATTAGGTCATGATCTGTTTTCTTTGCCCTGGTGTTTAGCATTTCGAGAAATAACGTGCAGTTCTCTACATAAATGAGGTATACTTGATTATATATGTGTTACATATTGCGATTAAGTTTTCCGCAAAACCAGGGTTTTTGTTTTGCTTGCCTTCCTTCGCAAATTAGTTACAACCAATCAGCTTACCTACTCTTCTCTGCTTTTCATTGCAACAGGTTTCGCAGAGCGTTTTTGTTATTCTTAAGAGAACCTTTTGGCAAGTCACAGCCAGATCAGATGTCGGCCTCAAGAACGAATTTGCAATACAAGAACGAAGAACTTAACGCCGTTCAGAACGCCGTTTGTTAAATTCGAGTGGGCTGTTGTAGAGACCAAAAACAGTTGAAGATCAAGAACATGAAATTTAGCATGGAAAGACAAAGTCAAACTTGTTCAGAAAATATACAGAAGAAAGTGCAAGTGGAATTGGAAGTACTTGTAGTGCGGGTTGTGTTCTGACATCTGTTTTTACGATCTCAATTGACTGGAAACAAATATTTGTTATGGCACAAAATACGAACAAGCTCAAAATAAGCAAAAAAAAAAAGCGATAGTGAATTAGATTTTCTGAGGAAAGTGTCAACAAAATGAAGCAAGCCTACAAATTTGTCGGATGGTCGGTTTTCGTAACAGAGACATTTTGTTTTCTTAAGGAAAGGGAAAGAAAGCCGGTCAAGGCTAGTTTGCTTGAAAATCGACAGCCCTGTGCAAATTTTCATGACCTGTCTTAATTAATAAAAACAACACCAAAGGTACATTCTCTCAAATCAAACATTATTTGCATTGTACGTTGTACTGAAATTTGTGCTCAACCGGGTACGTCGCACTTTTCTACAAATGCTAATTAACGCGGTTTTTTAACAGTATTACGACACGAAAAATACTTAGTTTTGATTTTCATAAAAATGCTGCACAAAATTAAAATATCCGGCGCACTTGTTTGTACCATGAGTTAAGAATAAAGCCTTTTTAAAGCAAAATTAAAATAGTGTGAAAAAGACGAAATTTTTGTATGTATCAATGAGTATTCTTTCGTTATTCCTACATGGCCCAAGATTTCCTAGATCGATCTTTTGTCCTCTGCTGCACAACTAAAATACCAAATAATGAAACATTTTTCAGTGGTAACGAACGTGAGACAAAATAAGTATGTAAGTCCAGCCCACCAGGATTCCAACATAAGACTGCGCTTCCAGGAGATTATCTTCCATTACACTGCAGAGAACTGATCGAAGATGAGAACACATAACGATAAGGCACATACGCGAGGAAAAGACAAACTGGCGAGCGGTAGGGTCAGCAATGTCGCAGTTGTCATGTGTGGGAACCGACTAAGAAAAATGAAAACAAAAAATCCACCATACTCAAATAATCATCTCTCTAACCAAATAGTTGTAAGAAAATGTTATGAAGTACTTAGTTTAGTTAGTCAGTTCAGTATGATTTAGCCATTCGTCTATATTTAGGGTGTAGTTACTATATGAATTCTAAATCCGAAGTTATTTTAGCCGGGTTTAAGTTCTCGTGACGATTTTTCCGAATTGTGACTGTTGTCCGTCTTCGACTGAAGTGGATGTGCCTAGTTAATTAGTCCGCTGAACTCGCTTTGGACCCACATGATAGTTCCTTGTTTTCGCTTTTGCTGTTAGAGGCAGATTCAGTTGATCGGAGGCATTAAGTCCATTATATTGTTCATTTGCCCCCGAAGGTCAGGAAGCTAGCATGCCCAGCCATGCTTATCAATACTTAAAATATGAGAGTGTACTTTAGAGCTTACTAAGTAGAAAGGAATTTAGACAGTGTGCAGAAATGGAGAGACAGAACTCCGTAGTTGAAGTAAGTGTTTAGCAGCACAAGTCAGTGAGGAGTTTTCAAGAGAATCAAAGTGCGAAAGCGCATGAGATTAACAAGAGTTACACATCATGAAGTAAAATCGGTTGCAAGGAGAATTGTGTATTGGAGAACTGATTAATGAAAGAAAGTAGAAAAATACAGAACGAGGGTCCTTAGTGCCTCTTGATTAGTGGGGTGCAGTCCGCAGCTAGTTCCCCCCAACATTTGATAGCGTAACACAAATTTGTTTTTGAATTGACGCGCGTTGACAATGAATAAGACCAGGCCCTTGTTGATGGAAGGCATTCACCAGATTATCTCTTTTCACTGTATTGGGCGTCAATCGGCCCCCAGTACAATCGTGGCCAGAGTATATCATTTTCTAGCACGCTTTTCCAGAAAATTGTTTTGTCGAAGAGCTTCAGAAATAACCCGTTCAATATATCTGATGCATCTTGCTGTAGCTTTATTCAAATGAGATAGCTTGAAATCGTAGTGACGCAGAAAGGGCCTCACCCTTGCTCAGTTAGTTGCACCCTTAACAAAACAGCATACTCACCAATGGTATGCAGGATGATTTAGCATTAATATTGCTGGGGGAAGTTAAAAGTCAATATCTTCAGGGAGGTAAAAAGGTTTGTGATTCCAGATGCCATTAAAAAGTACCAAAACACTTACCTTTTATTCAACAGGTTCACTCAAAATATGTAAGTGTTTTGTCCTTTTTCCGGGTCCATTTCCTTCAACCAGGATGACGCACAATCAATCAAAATTAAATGTAGTCAGCATCGCGTACTTGACTATCAGATAATGGAGCTCATCATGTAGTTCAGTGTAACCCAGAATGAAAATCTCCTACGCATTTAGCTTGCAGACGTTAAGAAGTGGCAACTTCTTATTCTATTTGCACGAAAGATGAAAACACTATCCGCACCAAACTTTAAGGAAATTTCTCTAGTTGATGTAGACTGTAACAAACTGAACAATTCTTTCTGCTCTGATACAATGAATATATGAAGTTCATATATTTTAAACTGCGGTATTAAATACGTATGATGCACGATCCTTCGCAGTAGATAGTGCTATTTATACAATAGCGAAAATCAGACCTGAAAAAAATCAGGCCTGTACGGGATTCGAACCACTGACCTCTGCGATACTAGTGCAGCGCTCTACCAATTGAGCTAACAAGCCAACTGGGAGCAGGCCGTTAAGTTGATTCGTAATAAACCCGTGATGATAAATCAATCAAACATTAAATGTAGTCTTCATTAAACGGAAGCCCATACTTGTATGAGGGACAGTTACGTTTGATTGGTCAAAAGCGAGTTGCGATTTTGCGTTGTACATTTATTGGTGATTTAGCTTTTACAATTAAGTTTTTGCGGGTTTTAAATTTTCATCTGCTTTCAAGCGCTATTTTATTCACTGGCTGAAAATTACGAAGGTACTGTTGTAATACAACTACTGTCGGCGACAGATACAGATAAAAAATGTTAATTAGAGCTAAGAAGAGGCTCCGCTTTTTAATTCTGTGATACTTTAAAGTTTTGTTTTGCATATCCTTTTCCGGGAGCGCAAAAGCTATAAAACTGAATTTATCTCAAAGCGAACTGTGCCCTCTTCCTTTTNAAACTTTAAGGAAATTTCTCTAGTTGATGTAGACTGTAACAAACTGAACAATTCTTTCTGCTCTGATACAATGAATATATGAAGTTCATATATTTTAAACTGCGGTATTAAATACGTATGATGCACGATCCTTCGCAGTAGATAGTGCTATTTATACAATAGCGAAAATCAGACCTGAAAAAAATCAGGCCTGTACGGGATTCGAACCACTGACCTCTGCGATACTAGTGCAGCGCTCTACCAATTGAGCTAACAAGCCAACTGGGAGCAGGCCGTTAAGTTGATTCGTAATAAACCCGTGATGATAAATCAATCAAACATTAAATGTAGTCTTCATTAAACGGAAGCCCATACTTGTATGAGGGACAGTTACGTTTGATTGGTCAAAAGCGAGTTGCGATTTTGCGTTGTACATTTATTGGTGATTTAGCTTTTACAATTAAGTTTTTGCGGGTTTTAAATTTTCATCTGCTTTCCAGCGCTATTTTATTCACTGGCTGAAAATTACGAAGGTACTGTTGTAATACAACTACTGTCGGCGACAGATACAGATAAAAAATGTTAATTAGAGCTAAGAAGAGGCTCCGCTTTTTAATTCTGTGATACTTTAAAGTTTTGTTTTGCATATCCTTTTCCGGGAGCGCAAAAGCTATAAAACTGAATTTATCTCAAAGCGAACAGTGCCCTCTTCCTTTTTAGTCGCGCTCCAAATATTTTGTTGACCTGCATGTGCGTGCAGTCTCACGCGGAGAAAACCGCTTGTGGATTTTTCAAAGTCAACATCCGCTTGAATCGTCCCTCATACTTGTTCAGCTGAAAGAGCTGATTTTTTCAATATAACTCTCCGATATGGAACCATAATGATCCTTTTGAAAAAAACATTTTCCTAACTTCAGTAAAGTACGTGATCATAATGAACGTTTTTTAAATTAGCAGCCAATTAATAAACTAGTAAAATACTAATGATGATCAAAGAACAAACATCTAATCGATCTTGAAACGTCTTATCTTTTCACAGGCATAGAGGTGCACCCCATATTAAGTGTGACCTTTATGGTGTATAATGCTTTTATCATTATTTTTGGAATAGTCCTAACAAGCAAACACTTTGATTTAGAGTGATTTAGCAAAATACTTTAAGTGGCTCTTGGGTCGTGTGTTTTATTTAGAGGGAAAACTTCAAGATAACGGTCACCTAGATTAAATATGAGGCGAAGAGGTTAAGGAGAGGAACTCATGATTCATAATTCTTTTCTTTAATTTTTAAGCGAGGTTCTTCACGCATCGTGGGGTGGCTAGAATAGTCCAGTGGCAGGCGAATATGGAAGTGATAATTTAGATGAAAATCACGGATACTTGTATTCTAAAATAAGAATACTTCTGGTATCCTCCGCATGGCGAGGCAATATAACGAAAACTATGCGGTCAAAACAGTCAGCACTTTTGGCCGCTCTAGAAGCTCACTTGACGTCTTTCCTGACAGTTTATTTTTTAAATACTCGCCGCCTTTCTGAACAGTACTAAATACCCAGTCAATCAATATCTTTTTTCGTCGTCCACTTCATTGTTTCATTGTTGCTGAATGGCGCAGAGTGGTTTGGTAAGCCATTACACACCGTAAACTCTTGAAAATTGGTAAATACTAAGTTGGACTTAAATTTTAAAGAACTTTTCCCAAAATTAGTCAAGCAGGCAGGAACTTCATCACAAAATAATACTTGGTCATTTAGATAAAAAATATTCATGAATTCAAACAATGACGGTCACTTCGAATTACGTTTAGCATTTTGTTCTACTGGCTTTCGACATCCGGTAAAAACAACTTTACTTAAATAAGCCATAGGCCGTATGCCACTGGAAAGCAATTAATGGATACAGAAAATTCAATGACTAAATGTATATTGTTGTTTGTTTTGCTTTCCAAGCAACAATAGCAATGAGATATTAGACACTGATATAACAAGAAAAAAAGTATAACTGATAACCGCGATATTAGATTCTCACATGATAAGACAATTGTCTGTCGCTGGTGATGAATCGGCTTAGATTATCATATATGAATTGTAAACTTGCCACTTAAAAAGAATAGAATGATCTCGTGCATGCAGTCTCCGGGTATTCTGATTCGTCCAATGATGATTGTGTTAAACGAAAGATTAACGGCAAGGCGTAACTCTTACGCATTCAGTTTAAGCCGGAGCCTATAGTTAATTAAAGGCTGTGGTTTTTACACTCGACCTACGAAGCCGTAGAAGACGTTTGTAAGATAAATCGTACATAAGTAGGTTCGTGCTTTAAAATTTAACTGGGAAGAACGCGAACCAAAAGGAAAATTGATTAACTTCTACCTAGCGCCAGCTCGAAATTGACAAAGGCTGAAGATCGTTAAGTGAGCCGACAAAAAGATGAACGAGACAATCGAAGTCACGTTTTGTCAATGTTCGAACTTAATATCGCGCACTTTAATGATTGCCACGGCTATGATTGGAAGCATTATTGGAAATGGCATAACTTGTATTTTATTTATTCGGTTCAAGACGCTACGCACGGTGCCAAACATTCTGATCGTCAATCTGGCCATCATAGACATCCTCAATGGACTCACCAACATGCCTCTCTTTATCATGTGGTACATTTGCAAGTTGCATTTCCTCAAGGGTCGTGCACTTTCGTGGTTCATAGTGACATGGTATGTGCTGTTCATGTACCTGACAGTGGTTAATCTCACTGTGCTTACGTTGGACCGATTTGGGGCCATTGTGCTCGGCTTTCGCTACCATTCATGGAAGACGTTAAACAAGGCAAAGATAGCAGTACTTTTTGTATGGTTTCTGGCGGCTGCTTACACTTATGGTATGTTTATACTGGGGCTTGACTTTGATATCGGAGATGTACCTGTGCTCGAGTACAGGATATACTACTTCAAAAACTTTGGAAGATATTTTATTATGCCTGGTTATCTGGTTCCCTTCTCGATCATGCTTATCTTAGGAGTCACGATTTGGCGCACCGTAAGTAACCATAGACGGAGGCTGTCGATATTCTATCCACATTTGAAGCAAGTTAGAAGCGACGTTAAGACGGCCAAGACAATTTTCTTGACTGTGATTGCCTTCCTCATTCTTGGCATTTTGCCAATGTCGCTACACAGCGTCGCAAAAAAACACGGAACTTGGCTTAATTTCCTTGCGTATTTTCTCATGGATTTGAACAGCATGGTAAACCCGATCATATACTCGCTAAGGACTCGGAGGTAAGTTCGCTTAATATTTTAGGTATCCGACCACAGTGGTTTTGTCTAGTGAATGAATTTCATTTTACAACGAGAAAGAGAAGAGATTTTGAATACAAATGTTCTTAATTGTTCTTTTGTAATGGAAATTCTTGCTTATACCTTTCAACTCCTACGTCCCTTATGTTTCATTCACACTCCGGATGTATTTCTAAACGAGAAATGATCTTATGTGACGTAACAAGTGATGTCACAATAAAAAAGTGGGCTGAGATTTCTATCGCGTGATTGTTGATGAGGGCGAAGTGCAAATTATTTGAAACGCATGAAAGTCAAGAGCGAATAGTATTATTGTTTTGGTCTAAAAATACCAATCGTACAAAACGTAACAAGATTAACATTACTTCTCAAGACAGATCCTTATTTTTATCCAATAGTGAGACCCATAAATCACGTACTTGCTTCTACAATCTATCACGGAATAGGTGGCGAGTAACGCAACCAATCGCTCTGCTGCATTTGTTGTAAAACACCTGTAAATTGGTACTTAGTACACTAAGATGTCTAAACCATATAAAGCAACCAATTATAATGCTGCTTTCGTAACAAAACACTTGTAAATTAGTATATAGCACGCTGAGATGTCTAGAAGCTTTCATACAGCATTATCATAAATCAACTTGCATCTTCTGTCAAATGTATGAATATTTGTTCGGTTTCATAGTAGCTCTCCCCACGTGCTCAATCTTTTTCAATCTTCTCAAGGACTGTTCAATTTTGTATCACTTAACCAATGAGTACGTTCTTTTTAACGTCTAAAAGGTTTCGCAAGGCTTTTTTGCTGTTGCTCAAGGATCCTTTTGGCACCTCACAACCATATATGACATCCGTATCAGTACGGCGGAGGGAAAATGGCTCGCAAGACACGAGAGCACAACAGTCAAGTTTAAGAGATGAAAGCTATAAAGACTTTTTGAACTATCGATGCTCCCGTTCGACGAATTTAGAAAAACAAAAACCAAATTGTGGAAATGTGGGCTCCAAAAGCGTTGATAATACCACACAGAGCCGGGTCTGAACTAAAGAAATTGCCTTTGCGATGAGTATTGTACAACCATTGAGTATGTCTTGATGTTTTAGCTTCACTTTTTAAGAGAAAACCCTTGCCTTAAATCGATATATGCGTAAGTGTTGCTAGCAACCAAGCAGTGAAGCAGGTGGTTTGCGAATGCTTTATTCAAGTGTTAACCTCTTTCTCAATCGGCTCCACTACATCTTAAAAGAACACAGAGCAAACTATGCAGCGATTAGAAAATTATAACAGCTTGGCTATCATTTGCGACGAGATCTGCAAGAAGGCTTCCAACATGTCTCTCCAAGAAGACGATTGGGAAACTTATAAGCTTTAATTGAGTATGTTTCACTTAAAACGATTTATTTCAATTCTCAGAACCCGAAATATATCGTCTCAACGTCTCAAAGAGAAGGGCATTCCCAGTAATGGAGGTAACACTCTTTCGGTCCATGCTGTGGCTTACCCTTTGTCCGATCCTTATCGTTTTTATGAGGCACACTTCGCTTTTCACGTCTGCTGTCCCGTCCAGAATTTGACTTTCTACAGGTGGATGGAAAAGTGCAGTGACACGAGTAGGATTTGTCGGCATTTTGATAAAAAAGATGAGCTATCCCTCCTATATCGGCTGCGCATGTCACTCCCACTAAAACATAACCCTTAAAGACAGAAAAAAAAAAAAATTGAGATTAGGGGTAAATGATAAGTGAACTTACTTAACCCTATTATTAGTGCCTCGCGATTCCTTTAACTGGGAGCGAACTTACATTGACAGCAATATATGACATTTTTTGCATTATTATTGCTCATCAAAAATAGATCTATTTTCTTTAGTGCATCAAACTTGGCAAACCAAAACGAAAGATGTGTATCCCTGGCCGAATATTACAAAACTTAAAAATACTTCTCCCAAGCTGCTTTCTTTCATTCTTGAAACTCACCTCGTTAATTGCTTTTTGTGTGACTGCATACAGGTTTTTTTCGCCTGGTTGATTATGGAGAACTCCTTACTTACCCTACGTAGCTATACTTGGCCGGAATTATGAAAGACACCTCTACCAGCTTACCTGCGAAGGTCCCTGTAGTTTAACCTGTTTGGGGCCATTTTCAAAACTTAAAGCAGAACTTTTCACTTCGTGGGTGCAGCCCTCCAATGTGACACTATCGCCTTTGTCTCCTTTGGGTCCTAGTAAACCGGGAGCGCCTTTATCTCCTTTTGGTCCTATCTTTCCTTCTTCCCCTTGTGGTCCTTGTAGCCCTGTCTGTCCGGGTTCCCCTTTGTCACCCTTAAGCCCTTTCTCTCCAGGAGGCCCTTTTGGTCCCTGGGGCCCCGGAATGATCGTTTCATTGACAATCTGCAGGAAAAAACAACCTCACCTGTAAAACGGATTTTAAGCGTTTTACTTCTCTAAAAGAGGGAGTAAGGAGAGACAGTCCTCCTTGTTAGGCCTCGCAGAAATGAGTCTTCATTGGTATAATAGTTTCAGTTATAATAATGGCTTATAAATCCAGCTATTCCTGCCAAATATCAAATTTTGTTTTACATATACCTCTTTACCTAAACAGGGGCACATGATGTATTTGAATAATAGTTCCTAATACCTGCCTACTTCATAAGTGACATTGGAAATTTCCGTGTACATCCTATCTTAAACCAGTAAGGAACTACCTCTTTTAGTTTTTTTTTTTCAAGGGGATCTTGTGTGAGTCGTGGCGACGAATTTAAACAAATTGTCATCCAAAACCAAACCCTGTCATATCCAAACCAAGTTGTATGTTCTGTGAGATGTGGAGGACTAACCTGGATAATTGCCAGGAGCTCAGCTGTTTTTGCATCAATTTTGTCGTCCAAAATATTGAGTCTCGTCTCTGAGGTTTCATTAACTCTCTCAAGCTATAAAAATTCAAACGTAAGACATAATCTAAAACAAATAAATATGGTAATCTCTATTTCTTGGAGGAATGTGGAACGGAAGGGGTGGGGGAGTTAAGACGACTAACTAATATTGTCATGCATTTGAAAGGATACTGGGTTTCTCGATTCGAATCAGTGAAATTGATGTTTTTTCATGTGCAACCACAAACGCAGAAAGGAAACTTACCTTCTGTTCCAGATCACGAATTTGAGCTTTTATGAAGTTTAACTGTAAAGACAAAACTGCCTTTGTTAGTTTCGTTTGTTTTTGAGTAATTTATCTCACCGATGAAAGCAAGGCTACTCGCCTTACCTACCCGGTTGGTACTACACAATTATCACGAAATTAAGTTTTGGAAGAGAAGTTGGACATTATTTTCCTCCCAGTATACTTTAATGATTTTCTCCTTAAGTCGATCTTGCATAAAATAGTGAATAAGTCATTTTGATTAGCTGATAGGGTAATTTGGCATTACTCACCTCCACTATATCACATACTCCTGGAGGTCCTCTTTCACCCGGAGAACCTGGGTCCCCCTGGAAAGGTTATGAATAAGAATAAGCAATATTGACAATAAAGATGACAATGAAGATTAGTGTAAAAATACAATTATTAACCCGTATGAGACATGCTTTAAAAAGAAAATTGCACATCATAGCACAATGTAACGGAAACCAACTTAAGTGAATCGCATCCTACTCACCTTTTCTCCGTCTCTCCCATCCCTTCCATCCTTACCGTCTCTACCATTCTTCCCGTCCGTTCCATTCAATCCATTATTTCCTGGGGATCCAGGTGGACCCACAATGGTCAAGCCGTCCCTACCGTCCTTACCATCTCTTCCTGATATGCCGTCCTTGCAGTTGCATGGAAACGGAGGCAATGTTGGGGGTGGTTCAGAAACGCTATCGAGAGACTTATAGGAACAAACAAGAACACATCTCAAAACTGGTCGTTTTCTCTCAGGTTGTTGAAACATCCAAAAATTTTCATTTTATGATTAAACATTGCGTATTTTTGATACGTTAGACTGAGGAAGATCCGAGACTGACACTCTTTCTATCTAATATAAAAAAGAAAGTAAAGAAAATCTTAAAAATCCTGTAGAATCGTCACTTTTACATAAAAATTCGATACAAAATCATTGGCGATTTGGTATTTGTTTCTTCTGGTTGTTGCTATTCTCGAAAATTTAGGGAGGAAAAACAGAGAAGACCATGCCTGCTTAACGCGGCGTATGTACGAAAAAACTCCTGAATTTGGTATATTTCTGAATATTTTAAAAATATGCAAAGTAAATTTCTGTTTTCCGTTCCGAGCGAATCAATATTACTCCCACTTCGAACAAAACTCTTGGTAAAATAAAATTCCCTTACCTGGTTAGACTTTGAGGTTGTGAATAAAGAAGAGCTATAAAAAACTACCAGAAGAACCTTAAACGATGCATAAGGTGTAGACACCATCTTTAAACTATACTTATGTAGAAATAAAAGATGCAATTTGGTTTCTTTAAGAACTTGAAAAATGGTTATTATGGTGGAAGTTTTGATACCCGAGTCTTTTGATGTCACCTTGTGTTTACACAGTTTTTTCCCAAAGGTGCCAAACTGAAACGATTTTTAATCAGACCTCAATTGAAGTCATGTAAGCAGCACTTATTCAACGGAAGATAACCTTAAATGGTGCATCTTATTTCGATCCATGTCGTGGACATCTTATGTTTATATTGTTAAAGTTATCTCAAGCAACATCTTGTCATCCTGTCATGAAAAACGGAACACATCAACTGTTTTATTACAGTAACTCAAATTTACGTCAGTTTGTATTATTTAATTTTTATGCTTATAATATGCGGGGTTTTCGTATCATCGAAGTCGAGAAATTGTGTATTAATTTTCTCCTGCACTTGAGGGAGGAAGAATACGTGACTATTCCAAAACCAAAAATTCTCACCAATTAGATTTGGTTGAAAATATTACCAAAGAAGAGAC